GACCTGAACGCGTGCAATCCGGGAGACCAAGACTCGTAAATACGGACCGAGTTCTGAACCCTCCGCTGGCAAGTGGAGCCGACAGCCAAGTTGCGAGCGCGCTAGGGCGTGGTGTATTAGCCACCGTCGGCTTTGGGTTCGAGTCCTAGACGAGGTGATTTTTTTTTTGGCAAGGGGGCGGGGGCGGGGGGGCTCTTCTGAGTGGGCTGTCAAGTCCACCTCCTCCCATGTCGGCCGGTCTTTTGTCCTAACCCTTGGTCCCCGCGCCGCAAACTACTAAATGGGAAAAAATGAGCCTCGACCAGTATTCGAACCCACGACCATCCTCGTCCCGAGCGTGCGCTCTACCAACTGACCCACTGAGGCCTCTGCAGAGGTGAAGCTTATCTCCGCTGTGGCTCACACCCCGAAACATATGGCTGGCAGAGGGGCAAAAGGGCTCCGTCGACTAGATTTGAACCAGTGACTGTTTGCGTACCGGCCCATCAGGTGTCACACGGCTGTAAATTCATGGCCAGCGGAGCGCTAAAAATATCACCGGGACGAGATTGGAACCAGCGACCGGGTCCACACCGGGCCCGGACCCTACCGACTTGGCCACGACGGAACGGTACCGAGCACAACCTTCGGAACCATCCAGACCTCAGCCGTGACTGACGCCCGAAGACACTTTTGGAGGTGGACTTGACCGCCTGCCTTACGGAAGACCAAGGACTCGTACAGCGGGACCGAGTTCTGTGCTATTCAACTTCAGGTGGAGCCATCAGCCGAGTGGCGAGCGTTCCTGGGCGTGCTCCCTTGGATGCCGCCGGGCGAGGGATCGAGACCTGGTCAGGTTAAAGTTTTTTTGGGGGGGGACCTGCTCAGTAGGTGGTCAAGTAAGTCCACCTCCTCCCCTCGCTGCAGGATGCACACCGACATTGTGTCAGGTGTGTAAAATTTTTCCTTTAAGAATATCTTTATTTATAGTGCTATCGAGGCAAAATACAGGCTGCTGCAACGGGCAAACCTATCTCTGACGCTCAAATATAGCAGAACACAAAAAATGGTCTGTTGCTGGGATCCGAACCAACGACCATGCGCATGCCGACCGGGCACTACAAGATCCGGATTTTTTTTAACTGACATTCGAGCAAACAAATGATTAAAAATTTAGCCATTTTCGCCCAGAAAATAAGATATCTTTGAAAATTGAAGACCAATTCTGAACTCCCCGAATTATATTTCTTGGCCCAGAACGAAGTTACCCAACTTGTAGTAGTACCTCCTTAAATTCCCCTGACCCCCCCCCCCCCCCCCCCCCCCTTTCAATAAATCAAGACTTTTTTCAGCCATCAGATGCAGATTTTTCCCTGTCACTGATGCTGCATCACCACAACTTAGTGTTTGCCAACCAACCACAAAGTGTACTGAGTGAAGGGATATACAATGAGGCGCAAGCTGTACTTTGTATACACTTCATTTACTTATTAAATCATAGACAAAGGTACACCAGGTACCACACAGCACATACAGTAGCAGAACATTCAGCATTTGTATAAAAACACCAACAACCTTTAGGTTAAACCAAATACAAAACACAAATGTTTAAAATTGCTATTTTTCTTTTATTGAGAGCCCAATTGGAATAATTACAATTTAAGAAATACTTTATCTCACGTTCAGCAGTCATTAAAAGTAGTACAAAATGTAAGACCCAGTAGCAGGGCAAGAGCATTAACTGGCACACATATGCACCAATTGAATATTGCCAGTTCACTGAGAAAAGAACAATTTGTTAACCCCCCATCCATAACGTCATGCTTGCTGTTTATGTTCTCAGCAAGCACACATCCAATGATTACATCTTAACTTTATACAGATCTATTTCAATAAATCCCCCCCTCCCCCCCAAAAGAAGAAAAATAAAAAAAATATGTCTTTCAAAAGTTTTAGCTAGCTATTTCAATATCATAGCAATCATGGAAAATGGGTCTGCATTTCATTTCCTATACAGGGTAATGACATAGCACTAACATATGAGCCTTTGTTTCACATAAAATGTTAAAGCTAGCTGGGAAGAGACACACACAGCAAATTGTTAACATACGAAATTTGAGGCCAGGGCTAATCACAATTACTTAAAAAGGTCTTTGACATGTAATATTGTTCTGAAACGTGATAAAGCAGAATTCATTTTCAAATGGAGGCCCCTAGAGTTAACATTAAATCCATTTTGAATTGTTCTGTTTTAAATATGAGGGATGAAGGAAAGAGCAGGACTAGAGTTTGAAAGTATTCAAAATTAGGAAGGTCTTCATAACAAATGCAGAGGGTATTATTTCATTTAGAGTAATCAAAAAACAAAATTATTAAAAACTATCAGACATTGAGAGCCTGTAGGCTTAGCTGATCAAAAGGTCAGGGTGGGGTTTGATCGTACTAGGAAGGTAGTCAATCACACATAATACTCAATGTCCACTCACCCAAAATCATGTCACAAAATTCTTTAACAAAGAGGGAAATATGTACTGAAAGTATGAAAAATGCATTGTCTCCACCTCTAAATAAATCTGGAACTCAGAAAGAGATCCAAACTGAACTGGCCAAACAATTATCTTCCTCATTCCCTTCCGAGTCCTGCTCATGCCACCGCAGGAGAACAGCCTTTTGTAAAAAAAAAAAAAAGTCCTGCAAACAAAAAATAGTTAGAGACTTGTTCTAGAGATGTACCTCAAATTCAAACAAAATTCAGAGCAGAGACATACCTCTACAATCCACAAGACACTAAGTAGTCTCCTAGCTTTTCCACTACTGATGCTGCCTGCTGGGGCTGAATTGGATCTTCATATAGGGACACGACAACAGCTGAATAACCAAGGAAAATCCCATTAGTCTACCATATAAAAGATGCAGTAACAAACCAAAAATTAATGCACAACAATCATTACCTTGGTGTGTCTTCATGCAGTGAACGCCAACTTTGGCAAGCTTGGCCCTGATAACTCTGTCAGTGCCGGAGAGGTAGATGTAGCGGTTCCCTGCCAGTGTCACGCCTGATGATGTCAACAGGTCCTGTTTGTCAAAGCCTTGGACAAGCTTTGCCAGTTCCTCCTTTGAGACCTGTCAGGAAATTGAAATCAATAAGTAACTTGATGGATGGATGTAGACAAGTACACAAGACTCGGTTAACTAAAGTGAGAGGGTAAAGGAAACTAGGTTGACCTGAACAGAACTTTAGAGATATAAACGATACTGAACTGTAATAATTAAAGGAAAATTGGGTGTTTTCATAATACTCATAGCTTTGAGAATTTTGATCAACTAGCTAGATTTTTCACCAAGAATGAGTGTATAAATTGCCACTGAGAAATATTTTACGACACTAACCTAATAAACGAATGACAAAAGGCTTAACTATTTTCACTTTTGATGAAATAAACTTAATATTGGATCATTTTACAATTCACACCCACTTGCAATGATAGAAAATACTAACAATTTGTTTAGGAATCTGAGGTACTTCAAATTAGTAAACTTATGCTATTAGAAAAAATTATTAACAGCCCACTATCAAAAGCACCATTCAGCAAGGTCGTATTCCAACCCTTTCACTTTGAGGTTAAACGTCTAAAACCAGACGACCCCTACGCGATCGACGCCCATACGTTAGAACACGTTTGACACATGAATTGGTTTTGACTTAGTACAAACATTAGCCAATTTTGGTCAGGCTACGGAGGTATCCCTGGTCTTCCGGCTAATTCTGCTATGAACCCCAAGGCATTAATTCAATCCAGTGCTCCATTACGTCACGGAAATACTTGGCAGCCCGTCGCCGTTCAGTGCAGCTGACATTACGACTGTCTCACAGTGCCGCCGGAAGCAGAGCTCCGCCCGGTTCTTGGTAGGTATCCGATTATGAAGGGTTAAGAGAAGCGCACAATCCACTGGAGGAGCACACAAAGCCACAGGCTGGCGTTAAGAAACCGTCCAGGGTGCGGAGCTGGACACACGTCGCACTCAGAGGCTGAATGGAGGACCGGGCCGGCCAGGGCAGCACACCGGCCTGCCAGAGCCACCGGCGTTTCGGCCTCAGCCTCGCACACCTCCCACAGAGTCCATTCGAAGCCACATCACACTTCCACTTGAGTCTTGGAGGTTTTCAACACAGTGCACTGGGGCGTTTGCCTCACTTCACCACTCAAACACGTATATTCCAGATTCGGTCCACACGGCTGTGGAGCTTTGGGGTGCGGGTCGCCCCCCCGGTCAAGCGCTGACTTGGCCGAACCACCAAGGAAGAACAAGAGCTGCTCCGGTAGCCCAACGCCTACTTACATCAAATCCTTCCGATTTGGCCCAAACGTTTCCATCGTGGCCGGCAATAGCGGCTTTGGTAACACACCGCGAAGCTAACAACTGCTTGTCAACGTAATCCTGCCAGCTCATTTTGAGACGAATCACAAAACCCTATAACCGAGTACTGCCACAAGTTCGCGACACCGACTTCGCCCGACTACTGGTTGGAGAGGAGAAGTAGTGCGATGGAAGCAGGGACTAGATGGATATCCTTCCGCGGGGAAGCTGCTGACCAAAGACTTTTGAGAATGTCCCAAACTCTCACATTGGGCCAATCAAACAGTCCCCGTAAAGATACAACCAGAAGAAAGCAAACAAAGTCTAAATACAAATAAATGTGAAAGAATGAATGGGGGAACTGCTTTGCGACGAGAATATTCATCCGCGGCATTGTCTTTCATAGTTTCTAAATTCACCGACAGGGGGCGCTGAAGAAGTGTTCTTCTTCACTTGTTCTTCCCATTGGTGGCTAATGAATAACAGCTAGCTGGGGTGAATAGTTCAAGTGTTTCAAAAGGATGAAACGCCGTCAAATTGCTGGGTCTGCAGAGAATAATAATCATCTCGAATTTCTTTTTTACAAGCCATACATCGTTGATGAAATCACGTCACATACGTGCACATGCACCCCCCCCCCCCCC